TGTCGGCTATCCGATGCTAATGGTGGGCTCCTATACCCGGTGTACAAGACCCAACCTGATTCACAAACCCCACGCTTCTTAGAGGGGTTTTGCCAGGTAGTGAAACTCAGTCCTTGCATGGGCATCACATGTAGCAACCCTTGCAGGACCTACCCGCTTACGGCACCCTGGTAGTAAGTAACCGTTATTAAAATTCCCGTAGATGGGGCTTACCCAGCTTTTCGAGAGCCCATCCTACAAGAAATCGAAGGACACTGCCATGCGAACAGTAGAAGAGTTTCCTGCCTAGGGGAGGTGATGCCGCATAACTTCTCTGACCCTTCCCTACGTCTTCGTTCGAACTGGGAGCGGACATATGGGTGGTTGTCCAAATTATGGTCTCTTTGGGGTCCTTATGATAATACGGCACCTAATATGTAGGGTACCTAAAAAGGGACCATAATTTTGACAACCACCCATATAGCATGTAGTTCGGCTTGGGGTTGGAGTCTTGAAAAACCCCAATCCGAATCAACCTGAAGTCGAGCAGCTTCGCTTCGCTACGTCGGCTCCCATGTTATCAACCGTTTACGTTTACGGGCAAGATGCATCTGGGTGTACGATCGAAATGCCTGAGACCTGAGTCCAAACCTCAAACCACACCTCAGGTATACCGAGAGATTGAGGGTTTCCATTTCCGGCATTATCTCCCCGACGCTGCGCAGCTGGCCTGCGAACAGGAGGTTCCCACTCTGCGCCTCCTAACCCGTCTCCAGGAGCTTGTGGGCATCGTCCTACCCTCAGTCCTCAAATCCAAAATCCTGGAAGCCCCTCCATCCTAAATCGTCACCTGCATGACGTTAGCCGTCATGAAGCTCCATGAACCCTTCGCAAGCAGAGCTCCTTTCGATCCTCGAAGTTGCTGCTGCCACTGCTTGTTCTTTTTCTACTGCCGACGCTGCTACCACTACTGCTGGTGCTGCGACGATGCCTTCCACCGCTTCCTTGATGCAGATTACAGTCATTGATGAACCTACCTCTACTGCAGTCTGCTTGGCAACATGCCCTCCATGATCGCCAGAGAACGAAGGAACCGATATGTGAACGGCCGACTTGCTCTTGGTATGTGCAGCGAACATCGGAAGTGGCCGCACCGATTTCCTGCGCAGGCTGTCAGGGTCTAGGTCTTGCGATTTGATGATACATCAACTGGTGTAGGAAGCGGGATTCGGGGTTCGGAGTTGTGGATTTAGAGTTGAGGTTGTGGGGTTGCGTGCTTTGGAGAATCCGCAACTTCAGCTTCCAAAGCCTGAGCATATTCCACGAAGCACTCTCCCACATGCAGCGCCCGAAGATCAGTTTCCGAGAAGTTCGACCTTCAAAATGCAGAGTTAGAATCTCTTAACCCGTAGGACACTGGGCAAGTAAGAAGTTAGAGCAGGGGGAGACTTCATAATCATAAGGTTTCCACCACCTCGCTTTTGGATCCTTGACCACCTAGTCCGCACAGCCCCCTCCAGACTAGGGTTGTGGGCCCATGATACTAGAATTATGATAAGGAACCCCTAGAATAGCATAGGCAATCAGTAAGGCCCCGATATTGAATGAGAAGCAAGGATTGTACGGCCACGTTTCCTCGAGTCGCTCGCTCCCGTCAAATGTGAAGGGGCGAAGCATTAGGACATTCGGCAGGAACCCAAAAAGAGCTTCGCAAGAGGAGGGTTTAGGGGTTCGGGGGGGGTTAGAGTCCAGGGTTTGAGGTCAGGGTTCAGAGATAGGGTTTGGGGAAGGGAGCATCATTAGTCCGAGCTGCAGATTCTCAACCCTGCGGGGTTGCCCAGGCACGTGGAGTCTAGGAAAGCCCTCAATGTGAGAGTTGCGTGTTCTTTTGTGGCGTGAGCAAGAACAACAAGCGTCTAGTATGCTTCTATGAGTGTTTGTACACGAGTGCCTTCATGGCTTCCACTGTACTCAGGAATAAGCCTCGTGGGCAGTCCTACGTAGAGCTACATTACTCGTTCTCGGGGTTCGGGCGATTATTGGTCAGCATCCGTATAGTTGCCCTGATCCTCATTCTCCAGGTGCTAAGTCCAAACTTAACCTTGAGACCTTTCTGTCCTTGCCTGCGGCTCATGACTTCCAGCCAAAGTGGGGAGCCTTCAGACAAAAAGGGGGGATGCCTCGTCTTCCAAACACTCGGTCTTTCAAGCGTGCAGAGATCATGGAGTTTTGGCGTAGCTTCGAAAGCTGTAGATCTCGAAGAGTCTAAGCAAGGACTGCTTTGGGTGAGATATGGCAATGCTTCGGGCGTTTCTGCTCCTCTTGCCTTGTGGTCGGGAGCTCGTGCTGTTCTTGAGGGTTTGTGACTTATGATTCATAATTATTATGGCAGGGGGCAAAGGGCCTTCTTCGATACTTAGTGTTGTCCTGCAGCGCAAAGTCTTGCCTACAGAACTTTCAGGACGACTTCGTCAAAAGTTGCTCAGAGAGGTTCTCGTTGCAGCGAAATCGTGTAGGCATGATCAAGCCAGTTAATACAGGGACCTTAATAATTACCTATACTATTTTGGGGGTTCCTTATTATAACTGTAGTATCAAGGGCCCCAAGACCCTATTCTAATTATCAAGGCTATGCCAGAGCATCTGCGACATATCCAGCTTCAGTCCACGACAATCGCCTGCAAAGGCTCGCACGCAAAAGGAAGCCTAAGCCGAAAGCTCAAATCCTGCAATGACCCAGATGTCGTATATTTGCCCTATATTGCTGGAGGGCCCCAGTCGTTCCACTCAGAAACTTTGAAAGGCAAAAGATCTGCAACCCAATGGGTCCCACCCTGTCTTCGCAGTTGTCGAGGCGTTGTCACCGGAGACCCTGCAGGTGTTGCGAGAGTCGAACAGGACATGAGAACTGAGCTCTGAGTTGAGGTTGCAGCCAACTAGTTTCATGCTCCGTGTAAATGCCCAACAGGTGATCCGCCGGTTTGTAATCATTCCGCAGCGTTCTGTCTGCCATGTATGCTGTATGCTCAGATGGCAAGTTTCTTTTCACGACTCGTGCGCGGTTCATGCTGCGACAGATTCCAGACCTTGATGTAAAAAGTTTGCTCGGGATGACGTGATGAACTGCTGCCGTACATCCTTTTTCGCTTTGCGGCATTGATGATTGTACTGGAGATCCGACATAGCTTCGGCATTGGTTTCAGATTGCAGGCCTCAGCGCACAGCACAGCAACCTTCAATCCTTAAAGTGCCTTAAAGTCCTACAGCCTTAAATGCCCTAACCTACCATCCTAGAGCTCCTGAAAGACTGATGGATGCCTTTAAAGAACAGGCTCCCTAAAGCCTTAGACCCTGAACCCTAAACCACCCCCGAATAAAAGACCTAAAAATCTCCGACTCTGCAAGCTTCTGTTGGCTGCAGGATTTCGAGCTGCCGGCGGGAAGTGCCTCCAATGATGCCCTGGACGCCTTAGAGGCCTCCTTCCGGAATGTTTTGTTGTTTTTTAGGGTCTTTACATGGGAACGTAGGATTTTTATCAGTATCTTCAAGCGGAAGTCTGAGTCCCGAGTGTGACCTTTCAGGCCCCATATGCCTTGGGAGCAGAGACCGTAGCAGTGGGTCTTGGAAAGAAGGTCCAGGGGTTTGGAGTCTGAAGTCTACTGAGGTGCAGGTGTAGTTGAGGTCTTCTTGAGCGTTGTTCAGCTCAAAGGACTCGGGATGGGAAGCGATTCAGTTAGATAAGACGACCTTCGTGGCCCCCCAGGATGTGAGAGGGCGAACGTGTTTCAGGACCGTTCATGTAAGCACCGCACATTCAGCTCAGCGACCTGTAGATCTTGGTACAGAGTGCGGCTTTGCATTCGGAGTGCCCGTGATTTTGATCCTGCCTCCATGGGCTCTGGTGTAGGACATGAGTCACAACTCGGACAACACAAAGCACTGCGGTCTGAAGAAACTGTCGCCCGAGTCGTGAACGCTCTGAGTATGAAGGTTCGTCTTGAATTTCAGCTTCCAGGTTGGAAACCTGTTTGCCATCCTACCGATCCCTTACACACAATCCTGTGCCAAAATGGTCCGTGTCGTCTAAGCTCTAAGCTCGATCCTTCCGAACAGGCGGCGAAGGATGACGTGCCCTGGGCGAAAAGCACTAGCCATATCGTGCCAGCAGGTTTTCGAGCAAGCAACAGCCCCAAGTTGGGTGTTCGTCAATCTGGGCGTACATCTTCTTGTAAAGATTCCCCACATTTGGGATGTCACGCTTCTGTGTCAATCATTGCGCAGAGGTGGTTCCGCAAGAATTTGGGACAACTTCGGATGGCTTTATCTCAAGAGATCCGACAGCGTATCCCCAAGAAGAATCTGGGCCAAGGAGGCCGGAGGAGGCCTCGTGGAAGAGTGGGACAAGCACATGGAGGCTCCTTGGCGGGTGGCCTCCTATGACCCTTAAAGCCTTTCAATCCTGAAGCCCTCAATCTACAAAGCGAGTAGAACTGCATGGGCCACTGCATAAGGCCGTGGAAAGTTCGGATTGGAGTTTAGGGCTCTGTGTTGTCGCTAAGCCCGAAGGGCGTTTGTCCCAGTCTCTAGTTTCAGGACAACGCGAAGCCTCAGGCATGAATCCAAAGCGGCTTCGGTGTCTCTTGTTCAAGTCTTCTCCTTCGAAGCCCCATGAACCCAAAGAGGAACAGGGGAATAAGACTTATCCGGGTCGGATCCAGATTTGCAAATTGTGTTCGCTGTCACTTGGGGCCCTTCCACCTAACCTCAGGAGATCAAACCCCAAACGCCCTCCCCGTTGTGCAGTCAGAATGCTCCCAGAGCTCCCAGATGGCCCAGATGTTGATCTGAAGCACCCCAACTTAGGGACCTTGGGTGGGGCTGTAAGCGTCCCAGGTCATGCTTCAAGCCACAACACTAGCATTAATTGCAAGACCCAAACCCTTACGACATCCTAAGCCGCTTTGGAAAAGAAACGCAAAAGGGCAGACCCTCAAACCCAAAACCCAGATCTTGCAGTCAGGGCTTTACCCCAGAGCTCCTCCTGACATTCCCACTGCCGGGCCGGAGCGATGAGTTCTTTTATGAGGCCCCGAGCCGGGGTTGCGAATCAGCTTTGATACTTTAATAGGGATAAGATGGCGGTTCACCAGGGTTCTGAATTGTTTTTGTTTGCATGGGTTGAAACATCAGTGTTTCACAAGGGTCTCTCTTTGCTATTGCAATGGTTTTCAGGGTCTAGGCCTCCGAGGTTGGGGGTCTAGCCTTTAGTTTTGATTCGCGATAAGGTTTAATCAAGGGGTGCGATTGCGGGCTTCTGACTTTGAAATGAGGGTTGACAATTCAGGGGTGGTTGGGGTGAGGCCAACCTTAGAGCGGAGGGCGGCGTTCGGGGTTATACCGCATGTTCATTGCTGTAGTATGATTTCGTTGCAGTATGTTCATTATGTATTGTGTTGCCATGATCCCAATGGAAGCCGCCGCCCTAATTTCTGCCGGCCGTAGAGACCCCAAAACAGCCGCCCTCCACTCCCCAAAAAACAAAGTTCGGCCTGCCTGCCATATTCTCAGTTGCGATGGACTTCGATTAAGACCTCGGAGTGGAGGGCTTAGAGATGACGAGCTTAGGCTCGGAGACACGCAGTTCAGCGATCGGGAGTGCTTAGGCTTTCGTCCTGGCTGCAGTTTAGCATCTAGCCTTCGGTTAAGGGTTGGAGGCTGAGAGGTTCGCGCTTGAGGCCCCAACTGGAAGATTGGAGTGGCAATGGAGAGTGTAGCATCTCTTGGAATACAAGGCATATCATCCAATTTGGTCCATAGTGGTGCATCGACCTGGTGCAGCACTGGTGATCTGGCATGAAGGACATCCCGGAGAACTCCCCACCGGTCCTCATCCGCGGCGGCTTCTTCGCCTCCGCATCGGAGGATCGCTAGGGGCGACTGCATCTGTCGTATCTGCAACCCCAACAAGTAGTAGGCATGTCTAAGCAGTTCGACATTCGGGTGGCTTGTCGGCTTCCGGCTGCTGCACAGAAATTTGCAGGATAGGTATGACAAGGCCCTTGACACAGACAAACGAATCTTCCTGGCCACTGCAAGCTTGCATGTAATTGGATCTTTTTGGTGTTGACATGAGTCCAGATGCTCCTGAGGCTCTGCATTAATAGGTCTCCTCGTCGTATCAATACGATGGCGATGCTGTTGGCGATGATAATGGCGAAAGTTGTCGATTATGACATTGATGGCGAGCACGGCGGTTATGACTACTGTTTAGTTTAAGTCATGGTGACGGTGCTGATTACGTAGATGAAGATGACGACGCTGCTGATGATGATGCTGATGATGCTGGTATGAAGAGCTCTGACGGTGGTTGCAATCGCGGCGAACAGGCTTGGAGTATGAACCAAACTAAACCCAACCTTGCCCTCCGCCCTACGAGGAGACCTCCACAGTAGAGTGGAGCGCTCAGACGCTGGTGTGTGGTGACTTTCACTGTGGTTCAAGACGTCTTCAGGAGTACTTAGATTGGCACTTGTATTCGGTAGTCCTTCGAAGCATTGCCATGTCATCCAGGAAATTCCGGCCAGCTCTTGGTTAAGCTTCAAGCTGCCAACTTCTGTAAATACATTGGGAGATGCTTGTAGTTGTAGGTTGGAGGTAGTCTGGCTACGCATAGAAGATACCCACGTTGCATAGATCATACTACCATTCCTTACCGGTGAGGTTCTAACACCCCAACACACGTCCCGCAACCCTAAACCTCCAAGTTCATCCCCCCGAAAGCTACCCGAAAGACAGAGCTTTGAGCTTCAGCCGCAGGCTGAAGCTCCCAGGACTTTGATCCCTTCCTACAAGCTGCCGCGCTCCGGATTCAACATGTGCTTGCAAGGTTCAGCATCACGGACCCCAAGGGCAACGTCATCTTCGAGCCTTGGCAGTCTCAAGCTGGTAAAGATCTTAGAGCATGAGGGGGGGGTCGGCTCCAGAGTTTGGAGCCGTGGAACTTCCGGTTGAAGGTTCTTTAACTGCTCTGGACTCTGCCTTGAGCAAATAAAACGGCCCAGGGAAGTGACCTCCAAAAAATCTCGCGTCCACGCTCCGTGTTTCCGAAGCCACCTGAGGAGAAGAAAGATCAGGTGCGCTTTGGGGGGAACCAAACGGGGAAACACGTTGAAGCTGGAAGCGAGAAGACCCCGTGCTGTCGGAGGGGGCCATCCATACTGCATGTGAAGTGCTTTTCATGCACTGTGAGCCTAGACGGCAGGCCGAGGGCTTGTTTCACTTCATGGCGAAGAAGAGCGGCACCTATACCTTCATCGCCCGGCACCAAGACCTTACAGACTTACTGCGTCGCCAGGCTTTATAGGAATATCTTACATGACCGGACACTTTTCACTCTGCGAGAACTTCCGACTTCCGTCTCCTCAAGTTGAGTTGCATTCTTTCGAAGGTGAAGTTGGGTTTATGTCCTAAACCTCTACGTTGAAATCCCAGCCCCAAAAACAAAAACTCTGCACAGACCAGGATGCCCTGAAATCCGAGACCCTGAGCCTGTATTTAAGTGATGAAGGTGGGCTCAGGGCGTATCTGATGTAAATTAGAGGTACCAGGCACTTGTCCCAGATCGAGGATTTGCAGTTTAAGTGTCAGTACATGTTGCTTCGTAGGGTAGGGGGTCCTCTGGCTTCTGCAACACTCACTCCCTACCCTCGCTCTTGGCTTTGTGAGACATTCCCATCCTCAGGTCAGCAACCACAGATGGATGGAGGAGCTTCCTGCCGTGTTCTATTGTAGAGTTTTAGGTTCTAGTATCACCCTAAATAATAATAGTGCTGTGCACGTGTTGCCGGCCTGTTCTAAAGCTGTACGGACAACATTCCTTGCAGGCATCTTCTACTGATCCGACCCGAAGGGTCGTGCGTCGCGCACATGCATGGGAAAAGGTGGTTACATCCCACTGCCTCAAACCTGGATCCGTTCTGGAGGAGAAGATGGTGACCTTCGCTGTGGGCAAGGGGAACGAGACGCATCTACAGCCACAGCATCTGACGACCATGGAGGAGCTTGAGGGTTTTTGAGGGGAGCACCGTCTTTGCAATGTGCCCCTTTGTTTTCCACTTCCTGGCTGAGCTTTAGGGTCTACGGGAACTGGCAGAGTTACGCCAGGATCATGTCAAATCCATAGAGAAGACCCTCGTCGACATCCAGACAGAGTCGACTTACCTCTGGCCCCCTTGGCCGCAGTTGAGCGAGCTTTGCGGTTACGATGCTTGGGGTTTGGGGGCTGGACTGTGCCCGTGGGGAAGGCGAAAGATCAAGAGCTCAAGTTGAACCCTAAACCCAAAGACCCTAAAACTTTGCAAACTGCAGTGTTATCCACCAAAACTCGACTGCAACGTTGATTTCAGGATCCGGCAGAAGTCGCACATGAAGGCCGGGAAGCAGAAGGGTTGATAAAGACATAGCACTACTCCTCAGCCCTGCTCCCCGACCTGGAGAGCAGGAACGCGGTCCCGCACTTTCGCAATCCCTGACCATGTTGCCATCTGCAGGGCCTGAATTCGAGTTTGGAGTTAGGAGCTCGTGGTGTAGAGAGATTGTAGAAGAAGATGCTGGGTCGTGAATCAAAACCCATCTGTGGAGACTTCATGTCCTTCGCTAAACCCCCCCTCCCCTCATTGACAGGCAGTCGAGAACATCCACACGCGTGTGCCGCCAGCCTTGCAGACAGAGGTTCATGAGTCTTGGTTTCGAGTCCATGCTGCAGAAGCAGCATGACCAGAGGTCCCGGACCCTGGCCTGTATCAAATGTACGTGAACCCACGGTAGCAAGAGAGAATAGCAAGAAACTCAAGTAGAGTACTCAAAACATCCCCTCATCCCCTCTCCCGGTGCTTACCGCAGCTTCAAGTCTCTATTCTTGTCCTTCCGAATGCCTGAATTGGATATTGTGCGTCATGTGCAGCTTCGGGTTATGACGAGCACAGCTTCACGGCATGCGGCATAGGAAATCCGACTCATATTCATGGCTGATGGTCAAGACGTGACCGGGACGAGACCTGAGGCTGTCTTTCTGCGTTGTCGAGTTCCTGATACTCATTGGTGTGTCTGGCTTCCAGGCATCTAAATCTGTCGGTGTCGGAATTCCGGTTTGGGATCCAGAGCCACAAGTACTAGTTTGTTCCAAAAGTCTCGAGCACAGCCGGATGAAGACTGATTTGAAGCAACGCTGCCAGAAGCAGCAGAGGCAGAATCACGATTGCAGTAGTAGCACAGCAACAACAGATTGGTCAAAAACAATTGTTGTCGTCGTCGGTGTCGTAGCAGTAGTAGCAGTAGAGCAGTACCGGCAGCAGCAGCTGTAGCAGTAGCAGTCGCGGTCGCAATTTGTAGGGGGAGTAGTAGTAGTGGTGGTGGGTGGTGCTGGCGGCGGCGGCGGCGGCGGCGGTGGTGGTGGTGGTGGTAGGAGTAGTAGGAGTGGGAGTAGGGGTAGGAGTCAGAGTAGGAGTAGGAGTTGCAGTAGCATTAGCAGTGTTGCTGTTGTAGCTATAGTTGTGGCAGCAGCAACAGCAGCAGCAGGAGGAGGAGGTAGTAAGAAGTAAGGGGAGGAGTAGTAGTTGTAGTAGCTGTTGTTGTAGAAGTAGCAGTAGCAGTAGCGGTGGTGGTAGTAGTAGTAGTAGTAGTAGACGTAGTAGTAGCAGTAGCAGTAGTAGTGGTAGTAGTAGTAGTAGCAGCAGCAGAAGGAGTAGCAGCTTTGACGTGCACATCAGATAGTCAGCAAGCATCGTCATCATCATCATCATGTCATCGTAGCCAGAAGAGTGTTTACGACTAGCACAAGCGTTTGCACAGTGTTCTGTGCACTTTGCACACACCATCAACAGCTGCTCTTCACCCCTCCAACGTACCACTTTCCTAGCCGCTGGCCACTAGCAGGAGGAGGTTGATAAGCGGCCGAGCCAAAAGCCGGAGTGCTGAGCATGGTCGTCCAAACACTGACTCGCATTGCCGTCGATGGCTTTGCAGCGTCCCTCCCATATCTGTTCTGGATCCCTAGACACCGGGTCCCCACATGAGCAGGTCTACTATATCAAGGGCCTTCTTTCCGACAGGAGAGTGCCGCCTGGCCGCAACCATCTAGATTTACATGTGGATTCTTCGTCGGCATCTTGGTCTCTGCCCATTCCGTTCCTGGCTTCTGAGACTATGGTCCTCATTCCGGACGAGTTGAGACACTTTGTCAACTTTATCTAGTACTAGACATGCCTTCCGAATTCATTTAGTTCTGAGAGAAGGGACGCACCTGCGGCATCATCGCGCTGCATACAAGACGCGAGACCCCGAATATTAGAGGCGAGTTTTCTGATTGCCCTTAATGCCTGCAGCACCAAACCCCAAATCCTGAACCCAAGCCATTTTAGGGTTTAGGGTTGAAGGGAAGCCCCATAGCTCAGGTTGTGAGCCGTGAAGCCTGCCGAAGCCATGGAGGGCGACACGGGACACAGAGGTACAATTTGAGAAATGTGGTAAGCACAACGATTACATGTCTGTACCATATCAAGTTTTTCCCATATTTCCCCCCTTCGGGTTATGAATTGATATTATCTTTTTCCTTTTTCGTGCCATAAGTGATAGAGAGCTGCAAGCAACTATTTAATTTATATGAATGGTTCTTTAATTCGATAGCCGGCGATAATTGGGTTCGATAAAATATCTACTCGCGAATACGGAAGAGAATATTGATATCTAACAATTTTGCTCTTTGAAAAGAAATATCAAATGCTGGTAGAAATACATTTTTAAATCTCGATATTGAAAATGAACCTTTTTTTCTATTTCTTAATAAATAGATCTTTGATAATAGCTAGATTTGGGGATTATTCACTTGAATTATAGA